CCTCTAAATCCGCCACTTGGTTAGGAGTCATTCAGTTTAATTTCATCAGGGCAGAATACGTCTTCTGTTAACCTTTCTGTTACAGGTTTGGTCTCAGCAAAATCGTTTAGAAGCTTGAGAAACTGCTCAGACTTGCTATTAACACAGGAATGTTTTCCGTATCGTCAATCATTTAATTGGATTCAGTAGAATATCAGAAGATTAAAGTTAAAATTCAAGAAATTTTGTTAATTAAAATGAAACGATACCAACGGGTAACCAGTAATAACCTAATGGAAAAATCGCTGAAATGGATGAGGTGAGATGCCATCGTGTACTTAAAGTATACACATACATATTGACAGTTAATATGGAATATTTTAGTTCAAAAGCAAAGTGTTGATAATAAATTAACTTTTTTAGATAAATTGATCACATACGACAATTGTGATCAGGTATATGTGTAGCCAGGTGTGTTGGTTATTGTTCATTAGGCTGCTTTCTCTGAAGCGCGGTTATATTACGTAATATGTGGCAGTTTCTCTGAGCAGTCCTCTTTGGCTGGTTACAGAATGCGTATAAAAGGGCAGCAGTTCTGCAGAATAAGTCTCTATATTTTGGCAACGTCCAGTCAAATAGTTTGCTGTTTTGCAGACTGTTAGCTGACCTTACGGTATGTGAACTAGCGGCAGCAACTTGCCACACTATTTTTGCATTATGCCAGAATGGACTGAAGCAAACTGCTATTGCCAGACAACTGCATGTGTCCCAGGGAGCAGTTTCCAACGTCTTACAGAAACACGTCCAGACTGGTACATTAACACAGAGACCACGGCCAGCACGTCCTAAAGTCACCACCAGAAGGGAAGACCGCTTGCTTCTGCGGTTATGTCGCAACAACCGGACAAAGACAACTCTTGCTGTAAAAAATGAGTGGCAAATTACCATTCAAAAGCATGTTTCTAGAACTCTAGTGAATGCAAGGCTACTTTTAGTTGGTTACCTCTATTAACAGAGCAACACCAATGTCTGCCTCTGTGGTGGGCTAGACACCATTTGTGGTTCCTGGCACAGCACTGGGTTCATGTAGATTTTTACAGATGAGGCAGGGTTTGAGTTCCACCACCGTGATGGCTGAATCAGTCAGTAGGCTTCCAGACGAGTTACTGCACGAAGATTGTGTCACACTACAGTGACTTGTGGCCGTGGCAGTATCTGTGTATGGGCCGGTTTCCACGCTGGAGCCAAAACACTATTGGTGGCAACTGATGGAAACCTCAACCAGATAAAATAAAGGGACATTTTAGAGAATACTTGCTTGCAATTTGCAAGAAGGTACTTCCAGGACAACTTCATCCTGCAAGATGACAATGCCCGACCACACCGTGCCCATGCAATAACTGCTTTTCTGCAAAACCAAGAGGTAAACCAGTTGCCTTGGCCGACGGAATTCCCCTGACAAGAATTCTATAGAAAACCTGTGGGCATAAATCGTTAGCAGAATCAAGAGCTTACCCGTCCAGCCTACAAATCGGCACAAGCTTAGGCAAGCTCTGACTAATGCATGTAACACAATACTGGATCAAACTCTCAAAAACCTCTCTGCGTGGATCCCTCGCCGAGTGAGAGCTCTGGCTGCAGCTAGAAGAGGCTGCACGCGTTCTTATCAGTTTCCATTTTTCACATTTGTCTTGATGATTCTGTTGTGTAAGAGAAAATCCTTACCAACTGATATTCTTGATAATATCGAGTTCATAAGTATTTAATACCTTGTTGTTATCAGCTATACAATTATCCATGTGCTGTTTATAACGCTGATATGAATACGTATTTAAATTAAATTTTTGAAGATGTATTCACACGGGTTGATTTATTAAAGCCATATCGAACATGATAACAAGTGTTCTTTCATCCATTACTAATATATGGGAAAAAAATCAAAGAAAATATGTTTGAAAAAAACCCATTTAAATGTCAAGTCCGTACATTGCATCACATGAATTACTTGATTCAGCAAATCCCTCCATTGCATTAATAAGGAAATCTTTTTTTAAATCTAGGTAAAAGGGGCAGTTGTGTGATCCAATATGTTTACATCCTAATGGCAGCGCAGTATTTAATTGCAAAATTCAATTCAGATTCGAATAATTGTTACAGTGTGACAGTGTAGCACTCATTGCTGATTTGATTATAGTGAAAATGTCTTAACCACTTTCCCTAACGCTGAAAACATAGGTGTGGGCACTTCATATGTCATGTCTGCTTGCCTAGTTAACGTATGAGCAGTTCTGAAGGCAGGTTCTAACTATCAACAGATTGACTTGTGTTTGACAGCTACAGGGAAGAAACAATAAAAGGTGCTACTCGGACACGATTCACAAAGTCAGTGCTACCCATCAGACAAGACATCTGATTTATCACATTCCCTGACCCTGAGAACATAGGTGTAGACACTTCATTTGTCATGTTTGCTTGCCT